ATACTAATCGCAGCGAGTTTTTAATATTAAATTACACAAGATGCTTATTTAAAAACAAAAGAAAATACACAATAAAGCCATAGTGCAACAAATACAAATTTTTTTTTATTTAAATCGCTATTAAATTTGAATAGTATAAGGCCAGAAGAGGCCAGAAGGCCTAAAGTGCCAGGAGGCCAAGAAGTATATAACCCGGTCTTGTATAAATTTAGACCGATTAGACGATGCCGGTATAGCTGGCATCGTCTAACCGGTTTAAAACTTTTGTAATCTAAAACTTTTGTAAGCAATTAATAAATACTTTCTCAAAACCTTTAGGGATCATTTAGGTTAACTCTACTAATATACTTTATATAAGAAACTTGTTAACTACAAACTCACTTGCGGTATTGTGAAGTGGTAGGGCGCTCGGCTTTTAGCAATAAATTCCAAGTTCGATTACCGGTTATCAACTTGTTTCTCCGAACATCGGCCTTCTCTTACCGACTTTTGCATCTATTTAAAACAAACATGACATCCATTTTAAACAACAATGACATTCATTTAAAGCATCGTGACAATCAATTAAAACAATCGTGATTTTTAAAAAAAACTTTTTAACGCATGCGCAATCTAAACATTTTCTATTCAAAAAAAAAAGGTTTTATTTATATATTTGTTTATTAAATATTGTTTAAATTTGTTTTTATTAATATTATATTCGTTAATTTTAATTTAATGGAAATTGTTATAATTTTAAATGGATGAAGCATTTGTTTTATATGATGCAAAACTCGGTAAATTATATTACCGGGTTTTGCATCTTTCCCAAAGTTACTTAATTAGTTAAATAACCCACAAAAAAAAATTTAATTTCGTAATGCGGTTTTATTTAACTTAAATAATTAACTATAGCGACTCAAAAAATATTACGAACAATGTCAGTTTAAACAAAATTGTTAGAAAAAAGCGTTAGAAAAATACACTGAGCAAAAATTTATATGTTTGAGGGCTTTCTACACGCAGCATAATTCAATGCGTTCGTGCTTTTATTAGTTTAAATTTAAATTTGTTAACTTATATAAGTTAATAAAACCTTTATATGCTAATATAAAATTAAAAAAGCTCTGGAGTACGGAAGTCCTAATAATTTTAATGACGGACGGGAGTCCAGACTCTGGGCAAAAACAGATATTCCTAGACTACGTACTCCGACTTTGCAATCCTGGACATATGTAAGAAAGGAGGCATAAACTTTGTGGTTAAATGTTCCTCCACAGTATTCTGAAATAAGAGTTTTAGGTCCTAACAATTTTTTTTGGTCTTAAAAATGTTCTTAGGTCTGAACAATTTTCTTGTAAATAAGACGAAGTATTATTATTTTTAGACATTTTAACTTTGATTAAAGCGTAATTTTAAACTTTTGCTGCAATATGGTACCAGATTCAAGTTCGTCATCGTATAATTAAGTTATATACTAATTTTGTTACTTATAACTTTATCTTAAAATTTTAAATTTTGGGGCATATGTGTTTGCTATTTTTTTCTTTTGTTTTTATTTGGGGGTTTTAACACTGTTACGAGCACCTTAATAACTGGAAAAAAAAAGATTCTGTGACTTTTTTAATACTTTGATAAATGGTTTAAATTTTTATTCAAAAACTAAACTTTTTTCAAACAATTTTCTAAGATGTAACGTAAATAATAATTTCGAGACTTGTTTATAATCAACAATTTCATTGTAGTGGATATTCATGATGGCTAATGAACCAAGTCTATCTGCAGTCATACAGGCTCTCAACCATGTTCTTAATCTTCGAATTGCTGAAAAGCTGCGTTCACATTCTGCGGATATTACGGGTAGTGTACATCCAATCTTTAGAAGATCAAAGAGATTATAATATTCATGGGGACTCTCTGCAGGTACTTTATTTCTGTAGGCCTGTCTCATAGTGATTCTGGGAATCGTTGGTTCTACAAATAATTTACTTGCCATACGAGTAGCTTGTTGGTAAATTGCGTTATAATGCCAATTATGAATTCGAACTTTGTGAGTGCATTAAGAAGTGAGTTGGCCTCCCTTTTTCTTTGTGCGTCCTAATCTATACTAAACTCTATATTGAACTGTTCTATATTAGAGTGTATTCCTAAAATAATCTCTAATGCCTCTGCCATAAATGGTATAGCTAAATAAAAGTGTTCACATGCGGATTCTCTCTGACTATCTTGTTTTGCACATCCGTATCAAAATCTTTTTTCTTTTAGTTGATTTACAACGGATTTCTGCAACATGCTCCAGCAAGCGCTCTTCTTTACGGAGAGGTATTGAAATAAATGGATATATTTTTGTATACATTCAAAATGTTATCAATGATTTCTGCATACATTCAAAATGTTATCAATGATTGGTATTTTTGATGTTGCAGCAATTGATAAATTCAAGTTTTGTGAGCTACAATGTGTTACAATTGCTTTTGGTGATCCTTTTAAAATATAGCTGGCATCACCTTTTTTTAAAGATTGCATGTTTGGTGCGCTATCGTAACACTGGTCTATAAAGTTTCATCAAGCTTTCTCCAATATGTTTGCCTGTTATCCTATCAAGATTAAAAAAGTCAAGAAATACTTCTCTAATTTCTATTTCTTCGTTTACGTATCTCATACATACTGATAGAATTTGTTGGTTTGCAGTTGTTACCTCGTCTGCTGAAACTGAATGGTAATTTGCAGCTTTGATTTCATTAATTAGCCGCTCTTGTATAGATTTCTTTCCAATTATATCAGTTAATTCAATTTGACTCTTGGGGCCAAGGTAGCTGACATCTTTGCGTAATGGTGTTTGTTTATGTGCACTAAGTTCAGTGTTATTGCGAGCTATTTCTTGCAAAATTGCAAGAAAGTTTCCAGGATTACCTTTTTGGTCTGAGTTTTCCATACATTTTTCATAAGCTTGTTCGATAGCTTCTTTATGGTATCTAATGCCTATATGTAGTTTTTGTTTCTCTAAAGCATTGTGCCATTCCGGATATCAATTTTCCTTGTGCACAACTGGAAGGGAAGTTTAGCATTATTTCCGTAGGCATCCGCTCATATTTGTAGATCACTAATTGTGTTACAACAGGGTCGGGTTAAGTACTTCTTGGCCTGCAGACACTTTAGGCCTTCTGTCCCCTGTTGGCCTTCTAGTAATCAAATTTAACAGCGGTTTAAAATAAAAAAATCCTTTTAATTGTTGGGCTATGACTTTATAATGAATTTTCTTTTGTATTTAAACAAGCATCGCGTTATTTCTTATTAAAAACACGCTGCAATTAGTATTGGTTTTTTAAGCTAGCAAAAGCAGATATGATATCTTTTAGATCGATGGAATCCAATACTCGATTTTCTATTTAAACAATAGAAAGATCTGAAACGATCCTGAAAAAAAGCTCCAAAATCAATACATTTGTTCGATAAGTGAAAGTTAAGATCAGTAGGATATGGCAACAAGTTTTTGTGTACTGCAAGTTATCTCCGAGATTTTCATACTGCGGAGATTCACAAGAAAACCAAACAGAGAGTTCAATCCAGAATAGACTTTTATTCTTTTACCTAGATTACTCATTAGTTTGTCCGGGATCTCATTTTCGTAAGCAATTTAAGATCGCCCAGAAAACACTTTAGTTTTCACACTGTTAATTTCATCATCGTAATGCCTCTTGCGTGCTCTTGGAAGCCTTTGAAGATAGACATATTCATCCGCATTATAAATAGACAGATATATTCATCAACCCAAGACAAAGCTTCCTTTTCATATTGCTCGAAATTGGAGCGAATTGTAAAGTATATATATTTTTTAAGTATTTATAAACTTCCGTAAATTATTGTCTTGTGTCACTGATGCACGGGAAACTGTTAAGTTTTGGCTTATATGTTTAGCTAAACTTTTATTTCTCCTTAAAAATTCGTGGATTCCTGTCCTCCCAGGACGATTGTTAATAAAAAAATTGTCTGTACAAAAGTCAGTTACCAACCGTTGTACACTGTCTTGGAGTTGTTTTACAGTTACAGAGAATCCTGCTTCGGCCGTTTTTAGGACCCAGTTAGCAATAACTATTTTCTTTTCATAGCTTAGGACGGTTTGAGGTCCCATTTTTCTTTCAATGTGTGACTTGCCTTTTAAATTATATTTTAGAGTAATTCTTGGTACATCATGTTTTTTAGCTGCTGTACGGACTGGTGTATTATTATTGCTTACATCTTGGATAGCTTCCTTCATCGTTTTTTCTGAGTATTTTTGAAATGGAACTTCTATGGCAGGCATAATGAGTCTAAAACAATACAAAAAAAAAGTATTCAGAAGTTGATACATCATTGTTCTAGTATTTGACCACCTGGTTATCTATTAGATAAACCCAACTTAATATGTTAAAAATATAAAAATAAGTGTAGCTTGCTAAAAAAACATGAAACATGCATGTTACAACGAGTAACATGCATGTTTCATGTTTTCATAAATAAAGAAATGACTTAGTAATTAACCACCCTGGTCAATTACTAAATTATTTAAATATTCTGATCATTACTGACTATAGATTGCAATAAACAGATATTAAATAACTTTTAATTAGTATCAAACATACCTATTTCAAAATAAAATCATGTAATCTGAAAATAAATGGTACTTACTTTTTAAAACTATATTTATTTGCGCCTAATAGGAGAGTGTTTTCTTGCTGTTTTTCAAATCGTTTTTTAATAGTAGCGCTTATTTTAACAATTTTTCTTCTAAATGGTCAATTACTGGCACATGGTCAATTACCGGTGCCGCTAAATTACATTAATTTAATAACAAATCAAATGGATTATAATAAAATCTAATGAATATTGTGAATTACAAAATTTAAACTTTAAAAAAAATAAAATCACAAAAGAGTCTAGTCTATAGTCTTAAAAAAACTTAAAAAAACTACCAGAACATAAAGTAAAAATGCAATAAAACATTCTTTACCATAATTTAAAGCATAAATTTTTTTTTACAATTTAAAGTTTATATTAAAAAAAAAGCTGAAAACATAAAAACATATTATTGTTTGAGTTGTAGACGTTTTGATATCACATTTAACATGTTTTCAATTCTATCGTTTTGAGTCTCCATTTCTTTCATAGCATCCCGTAGTTTATATGCTCTTACATTCATTTTTTTGTGCTGTTTTTTGATTATTTTAAGGTCATTCTAAAGTATAAACATAAAACTTTCTTTTTATGGAAAAAAAAAAGTCTTTTCGTGATTAATTGTAAAATTAAAATTATTATTATTATAATCGAATCATATTAAATATACATCATAAGTTTTAATACGAATTCTTAATATGTATTTAATTTATGTACGTTTTACGTATATTTTAATACGTATAATATACAGTTTAAACATAATATATAACCGTATGGGGCTGTCATAGAATGGTGTTGGAAATCTTGAATTTATCAAAGATACAATAAATTCGAATATGTACATTGATATTTTGAAAAATAATTTGACTGCATTAACGCATATATTGAGATTAGGTAGAAATTTTATATTACAACATGACAATGATCCAAACAGAAGTAAAAAAAACAACAGAATCCTTACAAATCAAATCCACAAGGGTTCTTGAATTGCCAGCACAATGTCCAGATAAAAATTCAATCGAAAATTTATGGTTGATTTTAGATAAATAAGTAATCGTCACTTGAAGCGAAAGAAAGAATTAAACTGCTGTTACAAATGCTTGGGATAAAATAAATAAGCGCTGATTTTACAAATTAATGGAATCTATGCCAAAACTTTTGAATGTTATTATATAAGCTTAATATATATATATATATATATATATATATATATATATATATAACGTATATTTAGTAAAAAATGTTTTTAAAATAGTTGTTAGTATCATTTTTTTTTAATATATATATATATATATATATATATATATATATATATATATATATATATATATATATATATATATATATATATATATATATATTGAAATTGATATTTTTTTTGTCCATTTTTAGGACCAAATATTTTTTAATAGGTCCAATTTTTTTTTTTTTTTTCAAATTGAATATAATTTTTGAAATTTTTCTATAATTTCGCTTCATTTGAGTACCAGGTTGACATTTTTTGAAAAACATTTTTTTTGAAAATATTAGGGACCCATTAAATATTCGAGGGTCTTGAGAGACCCCTTAAAATATTTTTTATTCAAAACCCTAATATATATATATATATATATATATATATATATATATATATATATATATATATATATATATATATATATATATATATATATATATATATATATATATATATATATATATTAGGGTGGTAGTCAAAAATTAAATGTTCAGATTTTGTTTGGGACAACCTCTAGTCCTGTTCCTATTGATCTCATGAACTCATGTGCAAAATTTCATAAAAATATTCCTTCATTAAAGGGTGCCACATGCCAACTGATAAAATCACATGTACGCGATAGAAAAGATAGTCGTGTAAATTAATGTGTTGTTGAATATTATTGAAATCTTTAAATACATTTTTTTTATCTGTAAATCCATTTTGAACACAACCAGAAGTCTTTTCAATGAGGTGTACTCTTTATGTTTTTTTTGAGAATCTGACCAGTTGTTAAATTTATCAACTAATTAATGTTCTGTATATGAAAAATATTTATAAATTTCCAAATACAGATAAAAAAACAGAAATTTTACTTCATAGCATTTTTAGAAATTTGTTACATTCAAATAGTTAAATTTTTATAGTGCTTAATTACTAATTACTTAGCTGCAGCCCACTTACTTATTTTTTCTATCCCAGAATTCCTTGTAATTTGCCACCAAACCGCCATTTTGTATGTTTATCACTATCAGACTACCAAATTAATTATTTTAACTAAAAATTTTTATTTTTAACAATTTTGCAGTGGAATATCTCAATTGTGAAAAGTCAGTATACATTTAAGTTGTTATTTTGTAATATAAATTATGTAAACTACTTTGAATTTTATTTTATATAAATTCATATCTTTAAACTCAAAAAAGATACTGAATAATAGATATCACTGAATATATACTAAATGAATAAAATTTTATAACTTTTGCAATTCACATCATGCTTATTGCATAACTTTATTTGTATTTTACTCGACATTTCTCATGTTGATGCCGAGAGGCTTATACAAAATCCAGAAGACAAACTTTTTCTTAAAGTTCAGCTTGGAAATGGAAGACACTCAAGTTCAATGGCACAAATAGACAGAAAATTGGCAGTCAAGTTGAAGCGTTAACATGAGAGACAAGAGGCTATAAAAGCCAGAACAGAACGAAAAGAATTGAGACATGCTGTCAGCAACGGTGAAGCTGTAGTTGAAACATTTGAATCAGATTCAGAAAAAAGTTGCAATGAGAACGTAGATTCTGACCATGACTTAGCAGTGACACCGCAGACAAAACGACCTCGTCCAAAAAATATTGTCAGTCCACAAGTTGCAGCAGCTTTAGATCAAACTAAGATCAGCGACCGAAATGCGGTTTATGCTTTGGCTTTATTCTCAGTTGCTGTTGGTCAAAACCCAAATGAACTAGCTCTGAATCGCTGGTCAATTCGACGCAATAGAATGAAACATAGAGACGAAAAAATTTTGAAATTGAAGGAAGGTTTTGGTGAAAATATTAGGGATGTTCCACTCGTAGTGCATTGGGACGGCAAATTACTCCCAGATATATCAGGAAAACATGAAAAAATAGATCGCTTGCCTATTCTTGTTTCGGGTCAAGGTGTAGAACGTCTATTGAATGTGCCTAAGCTCCCAAATGGCACTGGAGAGGCAATGGCAAATGCAGTTGTAACAGCAATCTACGACTGGAATCTTGCAGAGAATATAAAAGCCATGTCTTTTGACACTACAGCCAGTAATTCTGGGATTCGCTCTGGTGCAGCAGTTCTTATTGAACAAAAGATGAATAAAGAGCTGCTCCATCTTGCATGTCGGCACCATATTTTTGAAGTTGTTCTTGGAGATGTGTTTAACTCATTAGCTGGACCATCTACTGGACCAGACATTTTGATGTTTAAAAGGTTTCAAACAGCATGGCCATTAATCGTTCGTGTCAGATATGAAGACGGTATATCAGATCCTGAAACAGCTTTAGTTTTTAGCAGCAACAGAGAAATGATGAAAGAAGCTATTGATTTCATTCAGAACTGCTTGCTGACAGAGAACCAGCCTCGTGATGAATATAGGGAACTTTTAGAACTGTCTTTGATCTACCTGGGTCATATTCCTCCTCGCGGGGTTCATTTTATGGCTCCTGGGGCTATGCATCGGGCCAGATGGATGGCCAAGGCTATTTATTCAATCAAAATTTTTCTCTTCAGATCCCAGTTTCGCATGACAAAGCGCGAAATAAATTTATCACGTTTCTTGAATATTTTTGTCTGCTTTGTCTATCTCAACTCATGGTTTACTGCTTCGCTGTCCATTCAAGCTCCACTGAATGATTTCATGTGCCTTAAACGACTCACACAATTCAGGACAATAAATTTAAATGTTGCGAATGTAGCGATAAAGGCATTGTCTCGTCATATGTGGTACCTCAGTGAGGAACGATTGCCTTTAGTTTTTTTGATGATCGTGTTGATGCAGCTACAAAATACGATGAAAACAAAAACTGAAATGGAATTCCTGCAAAACATGTTCAACTACGTGAAAACAACATTTCATCATCAGAGCTTGCTGATTTCATTAACTCGAACACCATGAGGTTTTTTGTTATACTGGGCATCTCAACTTCTTGGCTCGAATTGGAGGAACAAGTTTTTATTGCAGCTAAGCATTTTGTAGCCGGTTTGAGCGTTGTGAATGACAGAGCAGAGAGAGGAGTCGCTCTTATCCAAGACTTTAACCAAATTCTAACAAAAGATGAAGGGCAAAAGCAAGCACTTCTCCAGGTTGTGTCTGAGCATCGAAAACAGTTTCCAGATGCCAAGAAATCCACTGTTGTTTAACAGGACTAAATAGTCATTTTTCCATTTAAAACAAAATGAAAAACTAAAATGATATTGAAATTATAGTTAATTTTTCATGGTTTTCAATGTTTAATACTTTGTTATTTAAAAACTTTTGAACTAAAATAGTTTATATAAAAAAATTTTTTTAAAGTGCTTACAGCCATTAGCGTCAACCTTAGTGAAACTTTTAACCCCGTGTGGCACCCCTTAATGATGAAATATCCTTCTCAAATTTTGCACATAAGTTTGTTATGCTAAAAGGAACAAAAATAGAGGTTGTCCCATCATTTTACTTTAAAAAAGTTTTTTGAGCACCACCCTAATATATATATATATATATATATATATATATATATATATATATATATATATATATATATATATATATATATATATATATATATATATATATATATATATATATATATATATTATAAGAATATTTTATAAGTCTAACTATATTCTAGAAATTAAACTCAGAAATTAAAGCTTAACTAAACATTAGGCAAACTTTATCAAACAAGCAACCATTAAAAATGACCGTTAACATTATATCTTATACTGCTGAGTTAGGTGAGCATGATGATGTCATACTCACCTAAAGTCAAATAGCCTGCTGCCTACATACATCGACTGACAAATAGCCTGAGTCGCAGTGGAGTGCTGCTACATCGACTGAGGGTTTGGTATGGATCAGCAACCTTTTCATTCATTGTTCTTAGTTTTCCCTCATCGTTTTCTAAAAACGCTCACTTAATTTAGGCTAGCAAAAAAAGTGAGCAATTGCGCATATAAATATGCTATAGTAGATATATATATATTTGAAAAAAAAATCCTAATTTACCTGTTAAAAAAAAAAGAGTACAAATTCGCATTTAGGGCCGATGCATCGGTATCGGACTGTACCAATTGGCATCGGCCAAAAGTAGGCATCGGGGCAGCTCTACTTAAAAGTGTATTTTACAGTTAAATAAATATTATACTATAGAAATAATTTTAAACTTATTATAATGCTTTTCAAAAATACAGCAAATGGGACAATTTTCCCATGAATGCATCAAAATTACGATAAATCTTTTAAAATTTATTGTAATTTTATTTATTCGTAATTTTAGTCAAAAACAAATTGTCTCAATCGTAAACTTTTTGATAATTTATCTAAAATAGTTTCGTCTAAATGTTGATAAATTAAAAACACTTTGTTCTAAGATAAGTCTTCAAAGAGCAAGTCTTATAAATGTGTTGATCCTGTGTTGCTTCTTTACAATTTGAATTTTAGAACTTCTATTTTTTTTTTAATTTGCTAACTCTATTCATGATGTTGCCAAACCAAACTAACCTCAAACAACCAAACCTGGTCAAAACCTGATATAACAAAAATATTGTGTAGCCAAGCAAAAGTTCTCCGTGTGTTTAAAACTACAAGTGGATTTAAAGTTCTTGTGTTTAAAGCTAAAATTTTCAAAACTTAAATTATATTTTTCGAAATAATTTATATTAGAGTTTTTAATGAATCTTTTCAAAAGTGCTATTACCAAAAATTGAATAAATATCTAAGTATAATTTAAAAATAAATAAATATAATTTAATGGATGGACAACATAAAAAAAGTAATCTTTAAAATGTATTGACTTTAAATAAACTGATGTAATTTTAAATAAACTATTGTAATTTTAGATTATTAGGTATGTTCAAATCATTAATTATTTTAGGAAATAATTTAAATAAGGTACCCAAAAAGAGTGATTAGAAAATCAAACTGAATGAGGTGATTTTGTGGTGGATCATATAAATATAAGATGAGGTGAATTATATAATGAGGTAAATTATATAAATATATGGCTTCAGTACATACAAATGTATGTATCTATTTGCATATTTTTTTTATTTTAATAACATAATAAAATTAAAACTTTATTTACCATTTTATTAGAATTAGAAATTGGGGATTCAAAAGACCAAAATGACCATAATGATGATGTCTTCATCAAATTTGGATAGAATGATTCTTCCATTACAACAAGCTTATTTCTCAATGAGTTAGGCAAAGCTTTTTCAACACATAAAGTTAGATTAACCTTGAATAGTTAAAACACATATATATATAAATATATATATATATATATATATATATAAATATATATATATATATATATATATATATATATATATATATATATATATATATATATATATATATATATACACTTCATGTACATATAAAATAAAAAATAATATATCAAATAAGCAAAATGTTACCAATGTAGCTAATCGATTAAGAACAGCTTGCTTCTTAATGTCATTAATTTCGCCGATTGCAAGACCCATCTAAATAAATCTTATTCGTATAGATTTTTTTTTTAAATTTTTCATGTTTTCTTATTTATTTATATTATATGTTTTATTCATACAAGATTTACGTATTGAAAATATTATTTTGCAGGATGGTTTGCAAATGACTGGTCAAAGTTTTTTTTTTGATGCAGTATTTCATCAGCTATTGAATACTTCAAGCTGGAAGCAAGGATCAGAATCAAGAGAAAGTAGCCTGTTCTAAACATATAAAAATCGATGACTTTTTGTCAGGACTGGATGTGATGGTGTGATGTGTAAGTGCAATGATAGGGAGGGGGAGTGTAATGATAGGCAGTGAACTTGACTCAGCCGTAGATAGTATATAACACCTAAATTATTCCAGCTAATCAAATCAAAAATATATAAAGGGCTCCATATGTAGCCTCAACAATACAATCTTTCTAAGAGCCACCACAGAATTTGGGAAACCTTACTACTTTTAGGCCTCAGAACCAATCAAATGAATTTTAGAGTTGTACCTTCATTAGAAGATGACAGGAAGAGTATGGAGTGAATTATGCAAGACAAACAACTTTAATAATATATTTAACTGATGGAAATAGTTATAGATATAATAATAAGATTTATAGGGTTTCAAAATAAAAACATGATTTATTTATTATTACTTTTGGACGGTCTTCCGTAACACTTGAAAAAAAGTTCATAAAAGAAAGTAAAACTGACAGTAACTTTGAGATAAAAATCATTGTATATGTGAGTCTAACTAGAATTGTTAGTTGTTACAAGCAAGTCAGTAAAAAAATCACTAAACAAAAAAAGTATTATGAAAATTTCAAAAATGATAATTACATTACAAAAACATTTTCTGTGGAAAAAAGAAATCTGTGGTTTAACAATAATCTTAAAGCACTAATAAATATGAAAAAAGATCTAAGATTTATAAATTTAGCAGCAAAATGGTAAGATGCAGAAAAAATCAATGCATACAAAACAATACAAAGTTAGTATCAAAAGATATCATAATCATCAGAAAAGACAATGAAAGAAACCTGATTGTAAAATAAAAATTAAATCTGAAACTTCTCTATAAAAATGTAAACAGTCAGAAGAATACTAAGCAATCAATTAAAGTCATTTTGTATACTAATGGTACTGTAACATA